TTCGGATACTATAACATCGGGAACACCAGTCCCATCAGAAAAGACAGATGATGGAGTTGAGCCCAGGCAGGAGAGCCAGTCATCTTGGACGGAGGAAGAAGAGGAAGAGGAGGAGGAGGAAGAGGAAGAGGAGGAGGACACAGAAGGAGAACTCTCTCCCACTTCTCCCAGCAAGACTGGTAATTCAGAGACCCCAGAGTTCCACTCCTGCTCAGAGATCCGGAGGGCCTGGCGGGCCCTGGAGCAAGGGTCTATGGAGGGAAGGAGCTCCCAGGGCAGCATTCTGGAACCGTTACTCATCCTGGAAGAATCAGACTTCAGGGGAAACTGCAGAGTGGGTTCCCTGTCCCAGCTTCTTGTCAGCGGGGATGGGACCAGGAATGGAGATGGCCCCAGTGGAGCTGCTGGTTCCGAGAGGGTGGCCACACGTGTCCGGGAGTTAGCACGCATGTACAGTGACCGAATCGAGCGACTCCAGAAGGCAGAGAGCCAGGTGTCTGCTGCTGGCGCCTGGAGGAGAACCCGGGGCCTGGTGCATTCCCACCAGCTCCTGGTTCCCCCAAAGAAAGAGGAGGAACTTCAGCCTGGTAAGTGTCCCAGAACCCTTGGGCGGGTGGGGAGGTGCGGGGAAGGGAGGTAGAGGAAAGAGGAGAAAGGTGACTATTCCTCTGTCTCTCTCCCTCCAGGGCCTCTCCCTGCTTTTGGCCATGTCCTAGTTCGAGAGGTGAGCTTCCCCATGGCTTGTGCTCATGCTTCTGTGGCCCTGGTCCCTGCAATGCGATCCCATGCTACTGTCCCATCGGTCACCCAAAGGCCTGAGCCTGCCCCTGCTGGGAAGCATTGCCCCACAGAGGCTGGTGGACTCTTAGACACCGAGGTCCCCAAGGAGGAAGCCTTGAACCTCCCCCTTACAGAGGCCGCCCAGCTGGCCCCCGGAGCCCTGCCCCCGAGCCTACCTCCTCAGGGACGCCAGCTCTTAGGGTCAAGTGCAGCTGCCCTGTCCAGGTACCTGGCTGCGTCTTGTATCAGTCAGAGTCTGGCAAGGAGAGGGGCAGGGGTGCTAGAAGGGGAGGCTCCTCTGGCCTGGAGGTCCTCCCCAGCCAGGGCTCCCTGGGCCTCAGCCCCCTCGTCCCGAGCCCCGTCACCACCACCCTCAGCTCGGCCCAGCTACTCTACCACAGTCAGCATCCGAGTGGGGGGTGGAGGGCGGCTGGGTCCAGCTAAGGCCCAGGTCCGCCTGAATCATGCCCCTCTGCTGGCCTCCCTGGATGTCTCAGGGCAGCGCCGGGTTCAGGGAGCTGCTGAGGCCACTCCTAGAACGTGAGCTGAATGCACGTGTCCTTCAAACACAAGTTCGGGGCTGGAGCCATGCCCAGGTCTCCAAAAATAAAAGACTTGAAGATATTTAAGGCCCTGAGAAGACAAGGCTGAGGATCTGGACATTTGGGTCCTACTTTGGAGCTGGCTTCGTGCCTCAGTTTCCCCATACACGCCCCCATTGTCCAATACAGAGGTCTGTTAGGCCCACTATGTGCTTTGAAACCCACTGGGGGCTGCCTTTAATGTTATTAATAATTAATGTTATTGTTTTCTATGTTTGCACATTCCTTGGGTGGGGGCATTTTCAGTTGTACCATTCCACTCCATATAAATACTGTCAGCCCCGTCGCCCTTCTCCCAAACTCTTTGCAGGAAGGGAATTCTCTGAAGGGCATGGGGAACTGGGTAAGGAAATACCCCCTATTCCACCTAACCCCCAAGCCCCCTCTATCCTAGCACTGACTCCAGCCCCTCATTTCCTCTCCAGAAACCCAAGGTCCTTGTTTTGAGAGGACCAAGCCTCCCACCCCCCAATAAATGGATTTAAGCTGTTTCATTCTTAGTGACTGGGTATGATGGGGATGCTGTTTGCTTTTGGGAAACTCCTGGTCTGTGGTGGGGAACATTGGCTATGGGCCAGGGGACTTGCAGGTTTGAAGCCTGGCTCGCTTGTGTGAGCCAGCATAGATCTCAGGAGCCTGAGTGTTCTCATCAAACAAAGAAGGGAGTTAGAAGAGACCTCTGAGGACCACAGCCTTGAACTGAAAGATACTTCAGAGTGCAACGGGGCAGAGTCCTATCCTGACTCGAGATGTCACTGTTCTGTACTGACCTGTCTTCCAGAGCATGTGGAGATGTCATGTTTTCTCTGGCAGTGCAGAATGCCCCTTGGGCTGGCCTGTGGTCCCCTTCCTTTCCTTCCAAATTAGGAGACAGTCGGTCTGGCCTGAGTTCCAATAGTGCCTCTGACACTTATTAGCTATGTGACCCCTGGGAGTCACTGAACTTGGCAGTTTCCTTATGTATAAAATGGGGATACTAATAGTACCTATTTCAATGTGTTGTGTGGATGGAATGAAAAACAGGTAGAGCACTTCAGAGCCTACAGTGTCCGACTGAGGAGGGCTTTCTGAGCACTGGGGTGTAGGAAGCAGCTGTGGGAACTTCAGCCGGGGCCTGTCCTGGCTGTGGTCTGGGCCCCCAAGCTTCCCAGGTCCGCTCAGTCTCCTTAAGGTCCTAACCCCGAGTGTCCAACCAAGAGGCCCAGGTTGCTTCCAGAGAAGCCATTTTGCTGGGGTCTCCTCCAGCTCAGGCCAATACATCCTGACCCAAGGCAGGATGTCCTGAGCATGTCTTCCCACCTTGGGAGACATGGCTTCTGCCCCCTGATTGGTTCCGCCCACCTCAAACCCACAGGCTCACCATGGACAGGGACATCATTCTCTGGCCTCCATCCAGTCCAGCTGCTGGATTACATCTTTTCTTAAGAAGCCTCCCACCCACATGATGCTTTGTGGGTTAGGGTTGGAGCCCTAGGGTGATGGGCCTTCGTCTCCTTCCCCTGGGCCTGTAACAGGCCCTCTGTAGCTAGGGGAAGGAGAAGGTTTGCAATACGGACCGACCGTATAAGGGCTATTCCCAGGCCATGTTTCTCCCGCCCACAGCTTTCCAGGATGCCATCCAAGGGAAGGAAGGAAAATTCCCAGCCAACGCTCCCAGTCAGCAAGCATTCCCAGCATTCCACTCCCCCCTCCAACTAAGGCAAGTAGGAGGGGGGGGAAATTCTGTTTTGCATTTTCCCCCTCCCCCTAGGGGAAAGGGGGTGGGGTATACAGGCAGTCATTCAGCCCCAGATGCATCCCAGCTGTTCCTAGTGAGGGATGAGGCAAGCCACAGCCCTCAAAAGCTCAGGGATACTAGGATCCCCTAGCAGGGATGGCCAGGTATCCCACTGAGGGAACCTAGCATCTCTGTGAAGTCTCACCAGGAGACACCTACTCTGCACTAGGTTCTACATGGAAGATAGGCTGGGAAAGAACTGGAGGTGAGGCACCTGAGAAAACTGGCCAACTTCCAATCCTTATCACTTGATAACCTTATTGGGCCCATGTCTTCCAGGGTTGGATCACAGAGCCTTCTGGTCTATTGCCTTTATCTCATAAAACATCTGCCATTTCGGTAAATAGTGCCTCTCCACAATCTGGCTTTTGTCCCTGTCATTCAATCAGCTCTTGAAATCGATTAAGTATCAACTCCCCAAACCCAACAGCTGAAATCCAATGGCTGTGGGAACAAAAGTAGACATTTCAAAGCTAGTAAGACTTGGTTAAGCAAACAGATTTGAGGACAATGGTGGTAAGAAGGGGTTCACTGGATGCTGAAGGCCCTCAGCCAGGTAGGAAGGCAAATGCCCTCCATCTTCTCCTGGAGTCTTTAGGACCCTAGATTCAGAGGTGGAAGGGATGTCAGCTGGTCCAACATCCTTACTCCAAAGGTGAGGAGCCTAAGGAGGCCATGCCACTTATTCAAGGTCCACAGGGGAGGCAGATGTAGGGGCCTAACTAGAGCACCTTCCATTTGCCAGTAACACAAGACTCTTGGCCCATCATACATCCCTTTTGCCTCCACACCAGCTAGGAATTGTCCAAATCTCTGGGGGAGGGAAGCTTCCCCCCCCAACCAAAAAAAAGCAAAACATTTCAAGGTCTTCCCAGCGCCTACAGGATAATCACCCAAACTCCTTAGCCCACAGCCTATTGGCTTTTCTTCTACTCTCAGCTTTAAGGTGAGATGACTTGCTGGCCAGTGCCAGACCTCCTCCAGCCCCAAGGCCCTTGACCATCTTTTGGGGGCCCCTCCACAGCATGGCCTGTCAGTGTTTCCATTTCCTTTATCCTCCACTTGTGTCTGTTTTATTTGGATGTGCAGTAGAAAGCACACTGCAGGAAGGCAGGTATGGTATCCAGCAGGGCCCTAAAAGGGACCCAACTCTGACATCTGCTCCAAGGTTCCACCAGCATCCTCCACCTGGGGTCAGTGTCAGTGACATCCTTCAGCTGGGCCCAAGTCCTCATCTTTCCTGGAGGATCCTTGGGGTCCTGGCCCATTCCCACCCATCCCACACTCCTCAGCATTCTTCTTAATGGTTATGGTTCTCACCTTTTCCTGCTCAGAAATCTTGAACAGTCCCTACCACCACTGACCAATTTTCATCACCTTCCTGATCCGTCAGCACACAAGCAGCTCATTCCATCCTGTTAAACAGGGCTGAGTGGCCTAATCTCTATTGCTTAATCCTGCCCCCTGTCCCTAACTCACTAGGAAAGATGTGAACTATTTGGAACACGAGAGTAGAGATAGGAAGCTGCTTGTTCAGGGCTATTTTTCACATTACTTTAAGGGCTTCCTGAGGGCAAGGATGGGTCCTTTTGCTTTTAAGGAATAGGGGAAAGGACTCACACCCACTTTCAGAAGGGTGACTTTTTTTCCCTGGATTTGAGGGTGGCTGGGGAGAACAATGCACTACATCAGACTGGAGGCTCAACACGAGCGACATAAACTTTCTTCTTGGAACAGAAAGGTCCCCTTTACATTCAAGACCAGGGGTGGGGAACGTGCAAGCCTTGAGGCCAAAGGCTTCCCGCCCCCGTTCAAAACCAACCATAGCTTCTTAAACCTGAGAAGGTCATATACCAAATTTATTGCAAAAAGACCCGCAACCCCAGCAGTTGTCTCATCGATAGGATTTCTGGTAGCGAGCCCGGGCCCCAGGACCACCAAACTTCTTGGACTCGCAGCGGCGAGGGTCAGCCACCAGCAGAGTTCGGTCATACTGGATAAGGATGTCTTTTATTTCCTTCTTGGAGGCCTCATCCACATCTGGGAGGAGGAGGAAGACAGTATTATCACTGTACTGACAACTCCTTGACCAACAAAACCAGGTCCACGCCTATTTGGCCTGAAGCACAGACAGTGCAAACCCTGCCTGATACCTTTACTAGGAGTGTGACCCTAGGTAAGTCTCTTCACCCCTCCTAACCTCAAGTGTCCTCCTCTGCAAAACAGGGACAAAAACAGCACCTACCACCCCACAGGGTGGGCTATGAGGACTAAATGAGGTAACATATGCAAAGTGCTCTGTAGATCGAGACTGGTTCACTCGCCTAAAGATGGAGAAGCCAAGAGACAGAGCATTCCATGGAAATACCCACCAACCATATTCCCCAAAGAGAAATTAATGGCCCCATTTCTGACCAAAAGGTTTTTCTAGACCAAGGTCATGTATATGTATAGCCCCCAGGGCCTAACAGCAGTACCCAGAAAACAGGAAGGGTATGGAAATGACTCGAATTTAGCCCGACCAATCACCCGCTCTTCACTTACATTTCTGGTAATAGGCCACCAGGGCTTTGGAGATGGACTGCCGGATAGCTGTAGGAGGAGGGAGAGGGGGATGTTAGCAGTGACCACGTAACCCCAACCCCCAAGAATACCAAGAGGCTGGTAGAGAAGTTCCCAGGCTCCCCCTTCCACCCAAACCCAACTCACCATAAATCTGGGCGACGTGGCCGCCTCCTTTCACACGGACTCGAATATCTACTCCAGCAAAACGTTCCTTGCCTAGTAGGAGGACAGGCTCCAGCAACTGCAAGAGAGGAGACCCCCAAATCAGAAGCTACTCTCAGCAGACCTTCCTCTCAGGTACACTGGGGGGTCACTCCATCTGACCACCCATTATTATGGCAATTCACTCATAGAAGATCCATGTCCCTGCCTGAAAAGGCCTCCCCGGACACTCCTCATTCTGTGATGAGGCAGACCCCCTCCTAAGCCAATCAACACCAGCCATAAATATGGCACAGCGCTAGGTGCCTGGATGACAAAGCCAAATGGTCCTCAAGGTGATGAGAGCTTGTAAAAAGATCATTATAGAAAAGATGATCTTCAGAGGGAGATTGCAGAGTGGCCCCATGGTGCAGTAAAAGCCTCAACTTGCTTGGAATCATAAAAGCAGCCAATGGACATTAATGCTTTCAAGAGCCCTCTCTGGAGGCCTGTCCATCCCTTTGGCCCCTTTCTACCACCGCCGAGCTCCTCCCAAGACCTCTTTTGGAGAGGGGCTTAAAGGCAGCCCTCCTTCATAGCTCTGAGTACTTCATCCTCCCCCCCCCCGTGTTCTCCTGTTCAAATGTAAGCTTTTTCAGGGTACAGATACAAGTCTCAGGGCCAGGGCTTGTATCTGTACCCCAAGTGCTCAGCCCAAAGCACAAGCTTAATAACTGCCTGACAGCCGAATACAGGGAATGGTCAGTCTTATCTGATGTTTTTGACAATTCCCACTCTTTCCTTCAAAGGTAAGTGAGTAGAAGAATTACATTTTCTCTTGCTGAGAAGCTCATAAGCACATAGGCCCTCCTTGCTCTCACCTATCTGCTTTGGCTCAGTGTTTTAACAGGTGGGTCCCCCCTACACCTCCCCTCACTCTGGTCAGCAGAAAAGAACAAGGGCCACGGGGCTGCCTTTTCCTTTTCCCAGAGCTAAAGGAGTTGGGGCAGGTGCCGAGAACCCTTCAGAGCTATGGCAGGCCAGTCCAGGTACCTTGTACTGCAGGGTGCGAGGCTCAATCATCTCCAGGGGTCGCCCATTCACCTTGATCAGCCCATTGCCTCTCTTGCAGTGGGCCACAGCGGTGGCAGTTTTCTGAGAAGAAAAACAACTTGCATTTCTATGTGGTTTTAGGGATCGTAAAGTGCTTTCCTCACATTAATAATAAAAGGTAGGTAGGGCAAGAACTACCTCCACACAGAACTTCAGCATTGCTGAGGGGCCTGTAGCAGGAGTCACAAATACTCCACATGCAGTGCTTTAAGATCTGCAAAGAGCACTTTGTGGAACAGCCCTATGAGGTAGGAATATTATACCCATTTTAAAGATGAGGAAACAGGAGAAGTGCCTGAGATCCAGTTACTCACATAGGAAGGAAGCAAACTTGCCAAGTAACCATAGCTAAATATTTGAGATCTCTAGTTCATGAAGTTTCCAATCCAAAATCTTCATTTCCATGAGGAAAATAGGCAAAGGCCCTGTGAGGAAGTGTGGTATGATGGAAAGTGCCGGACAGGAATCCAAGGAAAGCAAGGTTCAAAATCCTGCCTTAGATACTAGCTATGTGACTGTGGGCACCCCCTACCTCACTGGTTTTCTGTTGTGAAGATCAAGTGACTAAACCTGAAGGTTATACGTACACAAAAGGTACCTCTATCACCAAGTACCTTACAGGCGTGTACAGCAGCCATGTTCTAATGCAAGGTGCCCTTGGGTCTCTCTCCTCTTCTGGCCTCAGTCTTCCCATTTGGAAATATGGGACAATTACTCCCTATGTACTTAAAGCCAGCTGAGATATCACCACTCCCAGAGAGGGAGAGAAAAAAAGGCCCCAGGCAGGGGCGATGCCAGGAAGGCCACTGGCTGAAGAACCCACAGCTGAGAAGACCCCCAATCTGGCTTGGGATGGGTTTGAATTGAATACAAAGAGCCACGGCTTCATTTGGCAGACGAATATTTCCCTGCAAAAGAAGAGTCAATGGTGTTGGGTTAGGGGGATCTTAAGCCAAGGGGTCACCCCGGCTGTGTGTGAGTAGTCCAACTATCTTCTCTTACAAAGTTGGTGCTGGTGGGGTTAGGGGGGTGATGGGATTCTTTCGTCTTTCCTAAAGTTTGTAAGTTTCACGGTGATACACGTATTTGTGCAGAGGCGTACACATATATGTATACATATGTACACATATATGTATACATATGTACACATGCATGACACAGGAGGGGGCCTGGGCGGGTTACAGGCCTAAGGGAGCAAAGGCTAGGCCTGACTCCACCGGATTCGAATCCAGGTCCCTCCTAAGGCCAGGCCTGGCAGCCCTACTTCTCCGCGCCGAGCCCGCTCCGTCCACGCGTGCACGGGCCCACTCTGGGGACAGAACAAGCCAAAGTTCCAGGCCACGCGGCAGGGCTGGAAGGCGCCCAAGGCAAGATCTGAACCCCGGGATCGCCAGCACCCACGGCTCGGGCGGCCCCGCAGGCGCAGACACGCGGGCCCCCGACGGAACCGGAAGTCCCCCTTTTTCTCCCCTCCCCCACCCGGCGGACCCTCGCGCCTACCTTTCGTCCGAAGACCTGGACGGACTGGAGCGGCCCCTTGGACGGCATGCTGCTGGCGGGCGGCGCAAGCCCAGAGGTGGGCTGGAGGCGGAGGAGGCGGCGGCGGTGGTGGTGGCGGAAGCCGGAGACTGGAGCTCCTCACCCGCGCGGCGCCGAAGCACGAAAAGGGCTGTTGGGGAGGCGAGGGCTGTTTTCCAGGATTTGCGCAGGCGCAGACGCCGGGGAAAGGCCGCTCACCAGAGAAAGGGGGCAGGGCCTGGGAGGTGCGGCGGCGGCACTTTACGGCAGGGGCGGAGCCTGGCCTTGTTGGAGAGGGGGAGGAGCCAATGGCCTAGCGGCTAAGTGACGACAATCCTTATTGGCTGGCTCTCTCATCTTTGTATAGGTATCTCCTGACCCTACCCCCTTACCCTTTCTAATCTTCCCCATGTTCTCCTCCCTGCAGACCCCTTCCCCCTCCCTCTATAGACTCCCCTCCCTCTCCCAACCCTCCCTCACTCTGTCGTGTCCCCAACGCCCCACCTCAAGATTTCCTTATCCCTCCCCAACCCCTCCAATTTAAGATTCCCAACCCCCCCACTCTTAAGACTCCCACCCCTCGCGCCAAGACCTCCTCCATCCCCCTCCCACTAGACTCCCTTCCCTCTCCTCAACCCCCCCTCCCTAAAGACTCCCCCTTTCCCCTTCCCAATCCTCCCACCGCCCGCCCTCAGGACAGCCTGCCTTCTCCCGACCCCCCACTTCTTAAGACTTCCCTCCCCCTCCTTTTCCCTCCCTCCTTCATCTCCCAGCTCTTCTAGGGTTCCCCTTTCCTCAGGCCCTCACCAAGATCCCTTCCTCCCCAAACTCTCCTCGAGACCCTCACCTTAAGGTCCCCCTTCCCCCTTCCCTCAGCAACCCCCACCACCCTCCCCCTCAAACTGCCAGCTCCTCCCATCCCTTTCACTCATTCTTATCCCTACAGGCTGGGGTGGGGCACCTCTTCCTTTGAGTTGCTTCAGTTTCCCCAGCTTAGCCCTCTGCCCAGGGAGGTCAAAGGTAGGAGGGGGTGTGTCTATGTGTCCCCAGGACTCTGTGGACCTATAGCACCTTATCTTCCCTGGCAAACTAGGGACCTCTGACTTAACTTCTCTGGCCCCTGATTGATGGTCGGGGGAGGGGCCAGGCATCCAAGTGGAGCCAGAAACTTCGCCCTTATCATTCCTGTCTGGAGCTGAGAGCAGAGGATGGATCCGAGGGTGGGGAACTGCATGCAGACACTGACCCCCCCATCCTTACCCTGAGGCCCAGACAGCTCAAGGACAGGATGGACAGATTCGAAGAGACCTAGGCAGTCACCTACCCTAGAGAGGCCCAGACACTGAACAGCCCTAGAGGAGGAAGAATGCTAACTAGCATTAACGTTTGCCAAGCATGGCATAGATATTACCTCTTTGGAGCCTCACAGGCACCTGGGAGGTAAGTGCTGTAATTATCCCTAGTTTAGAAATGAGGAAACTGAGGCAGGCAAATGAAGTGTTGCCCAGGCTGACCTGGTTAGGGAGTGAGGCTGCATTCGAACTCAGGGCTTCTGACTCCATCCTGTAGCTCTCTCCACTATAGTCACACAGACATGTATGCCAACAGGTCCCTTTCACCCTAAATCTGTGATCCAGAGTATCATGTAAACACAGGTACCCTCTGTGTGTGTGGCTGGGGCCCCCTTCCCCCAATCTCTCAAGTTGACATCTCCCTCTCCTCACCTTGGGGACTCAGGCACCTTCCCTAAGTTTCCCTGATTTGGGGGTGTTCTCAGAACTCTGCCCCTCCCGAGTGTGCTCTAACCCACCCCTCCCATGATCTCTTCCAGGTGCCTGAGGCTCGCTCCCTAGGCCAGGGAGATGGGTAGGAGGGGTAGGACAGGCCCTGCCCTCCCCACCATCCCTCATGTGGTTCTTCTGGGCCTTCCTTGTGCTGGTTCACCCTCTGGGGGGCCCTCCTCTGGGGCCCCCCAGCTGCCCTTGGGAGCCCTTTGAGGTTCTTACAGCTGTCATGGAGGCCATAGTGAGTGGGCAGGCTGGTGGTGGGTGGGAACTGGGTGAGGACAGCAGCTGGTGGAGATGGGAGGTGGGAAAGGAGCCTGGGTGATCTGGAGGCCACTCATCCCCCTCCAATCCCAGGGCAACAGAAATGATGGCATCCTTTATACTCCGGACAGTCTCTCTGTGAGTATGCTTTGTCCTGTCCCACTCCACATGGAGGCCCTAGATGCTCTTTGATATTTGGAGGAGAGGAGAAGGTTGGGGGCCCTTAAGAAGGGGCAAACCTGTCTGTCCTCAGGATCCTAGGCAACAGTGTCCGATTCCCCCTCCCCAGATACCCCGGGATGCCAGTAATTTGGGAGGGGGTGTTCAGTTTGGGGGTCTTGGGAGGTTATGTTCTGAGGAACCATGCTTGGGGACAGCTCAGGACAGGGGTGGTGAGTCTCCATCAGTGTACGTTCCACCAAAGCTATGGGGAATGGAGTTCAGGGGTCTCTGACCGTGGTCCCCCAGGACAGGATGGAGGTGGTGGGTCTCTGCAGGTGTGCCCTATGGAGATTCTGCACTGCTTTGGGGTGGAGCTGTCTGTGATTGGGCATGAGGAGAGTCCAGCAGTAATGAGGGCTGTGAACCGGCTGCAGTGCTCATTGAGAGCCCTGGGGCCCCACCTGTAGGGAAGCAGGCCGAGAGCTGCCTCAGGGCCCTGTCCCCCCTGCGAGGGATACCCCGAGAGGCCTGTCCTCCAGTTCTTGGCCAGACTTCTGGGGCTACTGCACGTAGCCTGTGCTGCAGCCCATGAGGCTGGGTGAGGGGGCATGGCCAAGCCCCTCCCCAACTCTCCCCCGTGCACTAGCCCTGCAGGTCCCAGGAGACATTCCCAGGTATCCTTCAGGGAAGGAGGGAGGGGAGGGAAGTGAGGGAATGGGAGATCTTGGAGGTCTCCCTTGCTCCTGTCTTCACACCTGAATCTTCACTCCCACCCTTGCTTTCAGGCTGGAGGCTTTTAGAGGTCTAGATTTCTAGGGTCTGCTATTACTACTTCTACATCTGGAATGCCCACAAGGGCCTAGGGTGGGTGGGAACTAGGGAGGACAGAGAGAAGGAAGAGGAGACAAATATGGTGAGTGACTGGGAGGGCCTCAGGTGCTGGGCTAGGGCTGGAGGCTGGGGACCATCAGCTTCTGTTCCCCTTGGAGAAGGTGGAGTGGGCTGGCTTCCCCAAGGCCCAGCCTGGACCCCCTCTGTCTCCAGACAGGTGATGACACGTTGCTGCTCTCCTCATCCCGATGAGGCACCTTCTACCTTCCTGCTTCTGCCTTTAGGATTCCTGAAGTTCCCCCTCCCTCCCACCCCTCCCCAGGCCATGTCCAGCCCCTGGCACTTGGCTGGGCACCGAGTTGGCATTTATATGTTTATCAAATAAATGAATCAAAATCAGGAAGTGATTGATCTATAAACAACATTCTAAGGGCACAGGGAGGCTTGTGAAATACTTAATCGATCTGGACCTTGCTGCCAGTTGGGTGACCCCTTCTACATAACCTGGAACTGGATAGATTTTTCCTCCCATATCCTGCCCCTCTCCCCAACCTGAGACCCAGTCTCATGACCTTGCAGTGAGAGCTGCTTCCTAGCCTGAATCCCCAATGACCTCTGCTTCCCACCAAACCCCATGTATCTTGCAGAGACTGCTGGCCAGGGGAAGCCTTCCTAAGTCCAGCTTTGAGGCTGGACACTCCTTCCCCGTTTAGAAGCTTTCCATGGCTTCCCATTGCCTACTGTCTCAGGCTTTTCAGTGTCACTGCCTAGATCCCTTGTGATCCGACCTCTTCCATCCAGCCAAACTGCATTGCTTACCTCCTGGAAGTGGGCACCGAGGTTTCCAGCCTCAGCATCTTTGCTCTCTGGGGTCCCTCCACCTGGGAAGACTTCCCCACTAACTTAACTCTACCTGTCCAAATGTCATGCATCCATCCTTCAAAGCCCAGCTTGGTGAAATGTAGTCAAAAGAATGACTGTGCTTCTCAGTGATTAGCTGAGTGACCCTGGGCAAGTCTCCTTCCCTCCACAGGAAGATGGGGCGGTAAGAGACCCGGTCCTTGTGACCTCCCTGGACAGACTACCTTTTTTGAGGGCACTTCACCAATGCCTTGGCTCTGCTGAACACGTTTTATCTCATACATTCTGTGAACGTGGCTTTTCCCACCTCTTAGACTGTGGTTGGGGCCAGGCCTTTCTGTTTGTGCCCAGCTTGGTGACTAGCACAGTGGGCACAAACAGTAACATAAATGGATGGTAAATCGCTTTTTGGCTAGCACTCACGGCATTTCTGAGTTGGACAGTTTCTTTAAGGCCCACGCAAATTTTCTGGGCTTCCCCCCATTTCCACAGTTTTTAATGAAGACAAAGCAATTCTTTTTCTTCCTCCACTTATTACTGCCCCTCCAAATTTACCAGGTTCAGGACAGTGTTCCCATCAGTTCACAGGGGACAAAAGTCACCTAAAGGGGCCTGAGAGATAACCAGGAGCTGCCTGGAGTAACTGTTTGCCAAGACCTTTATGGATGGGAGATTCTGGGAAGAGTATGGAAGAATGGGATTCTGTGAGATGGCAAGGACCCGGTCTGAGGACCCGGTCTATGGCTTGTGGTTCCCCCCACTGCGGGGGTGTGTGTGTGTGTGTGTGTGTGTGTGTGTGTGTGTGTGTGTGTGTGACAGAAACTAGCTGCTGGCTTGCTGTTATTATCATTAGCCGGACCCTTAGGCTGCTTTACCAGATACACACCTAACCTTAATCCATACCCATGGGCCCTGGGCCGTAATGGTCTAACACTATTGCCCGATGCCATCCCCAGTGGAGGTAGCAGGGGCAGGTCAAGAAGTCCCCTCCTCCCCAGTACTCTGGTCCAAGGTCAGAGGTGAAGAACAGAGGAGGATTCTCTCTTCAGAGCTGATGGTTCTTAGCAAGCCTGGGGTGATTCCATCACATTGCCTGAAAGATGCTCACACCTAACTTTGGTCAGTCCACAAATAAGTGTTTGTTTATTTATTTAGCATGTACTAAATGCCAGTGGTAGGACAGTCCCAGCCCTGGAGGAGCTTATTTGGAATGCCGCCCCTCTCCCCTCCCCACTAACAAAAGGCTGCAGTAAAGGGATCTAGGATGGGAAAGAAGATCCCATGGTGTGGGTGGGACTTGGTGGAGTCCTGTTCTAGACACTTAGCTGGTGCCAGGAAGTGAATGAGCTTCTGGTTGTTCAGCAATGTCCAACTCTTTGTGACCCCACTGGGGATTTTCTTGGCAGAGATACTAGAGTGATTTGCCATTTCCTTCTCCGGCTCATTTTACAGATGAGGAAACTGAGGCAAACAGGAGGAAGTGACATGCTCAGGGTCACACAGCTAGAAAGTGTCTGAGGCCACATTTGAACTCAGGAAGAGGAGTATTCTTGACTCCAGGCCTGGCTGTCTTATCCCCTGCACCACTTTAACTGGAGGCTTAGAGTGTTTTTTTCTCGGCCCCGCCTTCCAATCAGAGGGGCAGCCAGGTATTGATGAGGTTATGAGTGCCAAAGCTGACCGAGTCACACACAGAGTAAAGACACCAATGCCACAATATGGAACACAACCTTACTGACCACCAAATAACACAATCTTATTCAGTACAGGGCAACTGAATAAAAATTAAAAATGGATCTGGGACTAATTTAGGCCAAAGAGTTGGTGAGAACAAAGAGAAACGATCTATCATTTCATCAAAGGAGACAGTTCTGGGACAATATATCAACACTGGTGGGGCACAGACAAAGCTGCCCTTTGGGGAAAACGTATCTCTCTAAACACAGATCAACAAAAGGTGAATAAATGGACATGCAAATAAAACCCCAGAAAACCACTAAATTTCATGAACCCAATTAACCTCCCCAAATTCTGAAATTTGAAATTGAAAGCAAAAACCCATTTAATTAATAAAACCAGCACTGTTGATTTTTTTGGGGTGGAGTCACTGAAATAAAACAACCTAATTGAAATTTTTAAATAGTGAGGAAAACCAAATTGTCAGTAACAAAAATGATAAAGGTGAATTCACAACAAATGAAGAAATAAAGAAAATTATTCGGAACAATTTTGCCTGGCTATATGCCAAGAAAACTGATGACTGAAATGAAATGGATAGTTAACAAAAATATAAAGTACTCAGACTATTACCAAATAAGTATGGGATATAAATAACACAACTCAGAAAAGCAAACTGAACAAACCATAAATGAATTCCCAAACTAAAAACCCTGCAATTAGATGGGTTTACAAGTAAATTCTATCCAGTAGGTGTCTTAAAACCCAGGATGTCCAAAACTGATTTCAGCTTTTCCCACTCCCCTGACCACCTTCCCTCCTTCCCTCTTCCTCCTCCCACCCCCCAGGCTCTCGAGGCTGGAGCTGTCCAGGACTCTTCTCCACCCCCCCATCCCAAACTGTGGCCAAGGCCTGTCAATTTTACCTTTTCAGCACCTCTCCTCTGACACTGCTCCTCCTCTGACGCTGACCCTCATCGCCTCCCACCTGGATTACTGCAATTGCTACTGGTGGTGGGGAATTCTGCCTTCCTCGGGTCTCTCCTCATTTCAGTCCATCCTCCTTTCAGCCACCAAAGTCATTTCCCCAAAGCACAGGTCTGATCATGTCACCCCCCCACACTCAATAAACTGCAGGGGCTCCCTCTTATCTTCCTTTCTTTTTTTTTTTTGGCTAGGCAATGGGGTTAAGTGACTTGCCCAGGGTCACACAGCTAGTAAGTGTTATGCGTCTGAGGCCGAATTTGAACTCAGGTGCTCTATCCACTGCACCATCTAGCTGCCCCTCTCCCTAGTATCTTCAGATGCAAATATAAAATCCTCTGGAATTCAAAGCCCTCCATAACTTGGCCCCTTCCTACCTTTCCAGACTTCTTATACCTTACTCCCCCCATGATTACTCCTCTATCCAGTGACACTGGCCTGACTTCCATGAAAAAAAGAAACACTTCATTTGTCAGGCTCCAGGCATTCTGTTTGTCTGTGTACCCACACCCCCACCCAACCCAGGCCTGGAATACCCTCTTCCCTACCTATCTACTGACCTCCCAGGCTTCTTTCAAGTCCCAACTAAAATCTCACCTTCTACAGACAGCCTTCCCTACCTCTCTTAATTCTAGTACCTACCTTCAGTTAATTATTTCCTATTTTCCTGTATATAGCATATATTTCTTCACATGATGTCTCCCCCATTAGATTGTAAGCTCCCTGAGGGCAAGGGCCTCTTTTTTATTCCCAATGCTTTAGCATCAGGCCAGTGCTAAATAATAAATAATAGTTGCTTAATAAATGTTTACTGATTAGTTGACTGAAACATTAACAAAGATTTACAATATTACATAAATGATTAGGAAAAGTAGGACAACATGAGGTATACTAAATTCTTTCTACTATACAAATAGGGTCTTGATGTCTAAACCAGGGAAAGTCAAAACAAAGAAAGTTAATTATGGTCCAAGTCTCCTCATGAATAAATATGCAAAATGTTGAAGAAAATATTGGCAGAGGCTTCAATGACATATCGAAAAGGATAGACATTATGACCAAGTTACTAGGAAAACGTAAATAATAGATCATATGAGGAACAAGAAAAAAAAACATACTATTATATCAATAGGTGCAGAAAAAGCTTTTGACAAAACACAACACCCATTTCTGTTAAAAAATACTAAAAAGCATAGGAATAAGTGGATCGTTCTTTAATATGGTGAATAGCATCTAGCTATCCCCAAGAGTTTTAGCCTTATACGTGATGAAGATAAACTTGAGGTCTTTCTAGTAAGATTGGGGTAAAGATGGATACCTATTATTATATATTATATGATATTGTACTAGAAATGCAATTCGAGCCTGAAGTCAGGTAGATTCATCTTCCAGAGTTCAAATTCAGCCTAGCTGTGTGACCCTGGGCAAATCACTTCACCCTTTTTGCCTCAGTTTCCCCACCTGTAAAATGAGCTGGATAAGGAAATGGTAAACTACTCCAGTATCCTTGCCAAGAAAACCCCAAAAAGGGGTCATGAAGAGTTGGAAACCATCCTAAACAACATAGGTATTGATTACAGACTTACAACAGGGTAAAACTTGCTGGCAAAACTGGAAAGCAGTCTGGCAGAAACTAGGTTTAGTTAGACTCCACACATCGTGTCATATGTCAAGACAAACACTAAATGGATTCATGTCTTGAAGAGAGAAAGTTACATTACAGACAAATCTGAGGTGCAAAGAAGAAATTAACTTTCAGACCTGGGGAAAGAGTTCGTGATCAAATGAGGATGGAAATTTTTATTTATTTTTTTTAAATTTTATTAATTTATTTTGATTTATCAACAATGACTTCCACATGCTTTTGAGTTTAAAAAT